ATTCTTCCTTCCTTCCTTCCTCCTTCCTTCCTTCGCCCAGGCTGGAGCACAGTGGCATAATCTCGGCTCACTGCAACCTCCGCCTCCTGGGTTCAAGTGATTCTCCTGCCTCAACCTCCTGAGTAGCTGGGACTATAGGCACACACCACCATGCCGAGCTAATTTTTGGATTTTTAGTAGAGATGAGATTTTGCCATGTTGGCCAGGTTGTTCTCGAATTCCTGGCCTCAAGTGATCTGCCTGCCTTGGTCTCCCAAAGGGCTGGGATTACAGGCATGAGCCGCTGTGCCCAACCTACAACTTTGTTTTGAAAAAAATTGACTTGAATAGCATGATTAGTCAGTTGTGTGGTACTGTGCTTCATACCTGCTGAAGAGAAAGACCAAATGACTAGGTCCTTTCTTCTGCCACCTCTGCCCAGCTCTGGAGATGGACTTTTTGTGTCACTCTAGTCAGACCAAACTTGCCAAGGTTGGACCAAGTTCTTCTGCTACGTTTCACTATTTCTTTTGTCCAGTCAACCTAAGGACATGTCTTTTCTTTCTTTTCCTTTTTTTTTTTGGATACCTCTTATTTGCCGAGACCAGCCGGGTTGGGGAGACCCTAACCCAGCGGCGCTAGAGGAATTAAAGACACACACACAGAAATAATAGAGGCGTGAAGTGGGAAATCAGGGGTCTCACAGCCTTCAGAGCTGAGAGCCCCGAACAGAGATTTACCCACGTATTAACAGCAAGCCAGTCATTAGCATTGTTTCTGTAGATATTAGATTAACTAAAAGTATCCCTTATGGGAAATGAAGGGATGGTCTGAAATAAAGGGATGGGTTGGGCTATCTGCAGCAGGAGCATGTCCTTAAGGCACAGATCACTCATGCTATTGTTTGTGGTTTAAGAAAGTTTTTAAGTGGTTTTCTGCCCTGGGTGGGCCAGGTGTTCCTTGCCCTCATTCCAGTAAACCCACAACCTTCCAGCGTGGGCGTTATGGCCATCATGAACATGTCACAGTGCTGCAGAGATTTTGTTTATGGCCAGTTTTGGGGCCAGTTTATGGCCAGATTTTGGGGGGCCTGTTCCCAACACTTATTTTTCCTCATCTCTCTGAGACATGTTTCTTCTTTCTTTTTAATTTAGGTATCTTTTGGATAATCCTGATGTTGTCAGAGGAAAATCTGTATTAGATCTTGGGAGTGGTTGTGGAGCGACAGCTATTGCTGCTAAGATGAGCGGGGCATCAAGGATCTTGGCCAATGACATAGACCCTAGTAAGGATTCATATTTTAAAATATTTAAGGCTCATCTTTTTTTTCTTCTCCAGAATAAATACGTACACATGCTCAGTGTGGTAGCTTATCGTCGTACGTATTTTGTGATCAGACATTGTGAATCTGTGTGCACTGGGACATTATCTGTAGGAATCCCCTGAGGTCGGAGTAGATGGTACATTTTTCCCAAGAGGATTTGTGTCTGCCAGACATCCTGGAGGGAGCACTTCTGTTAATTTATGGGTTAGGAATTTCCTGAAATAAGTAAATAGTGTTTATTTGACCCCAAACCCAAGTGAGTGTTGGCCTGTCTTTGAGGGTGATTTTTATTCCATTAGAACCCAGGCTGAGACAGGTAAGTTTTTATTTGATCTTTTCTTCTGGTCTACCCTTTCACTGAGAATATAATCCTTGAAAACCTTTATTTTATAAAGGAGTCTCAGTTCTTTTGTTTTTTTTTGGATACAGAGCCTCACTCTGTTGGCCAGGCTGGAGTGCAGTGGCATGGTCTCGGCTCACTGCGACCTCCACCTCCTGGGTTCAAGTGATTCTCCTGCCTCAGCCTCCCGAGTAGCTGGGGTTACAGGCATGCACCACCATGTCCAGCTAATTTTTGTATTTTTATTAGAGACAGGGTTTCACCATGTTGGCCAGGCAGGTTTCAAACTCCTGACCTCAGGTGATCCGCTTGCCTCGGCCTCTCAAAGTGCTGGGATTACAGGCGTGAGCCACTGCGCCCAGCCAAGTGGTCTCAGTTCTAATTTATTGCCATGCTCAATCAAGCCCAAGGCTTGTTTCCCTGTTCACAGTAAAAACCACAATATTTTGGTTAATGAAATCAGCAAATATTCCTAAAACTCCCAGCATTTCTAGGTGTTTTGAATTGTTTGTGTTGTTTTCAGGATATCCAGTCATATATTTGGAAATTGTGGTATAGCTTATATTGAGATAACCTTTATACTTCTTTAAACAACAACTTTCAACAAAAAGGAAGAAAAATATATTGTTAGCAGATCTTTTAAATTATTTAATCAACAGGGAATTATAACAGCCTAGCATATACCAATTCATTTTGTGCTTTTTTTTCTTTTTTTTTTAAGTTGCAGGAATGGCTATTACACTAAATTGTGAATTGAACCGACTGAATCCTTTTCCTATTTTAATCCAAAACATTTTGAATTTGGAACAAGATAAGTGGGACCTTGTTGTTCTTGGCGATATGTTTTATGATGAAAACCTTGCAGATAGTCTTCATCAGTGGCTGAAGAAGTGCTTCTGGACCTATAGAACTCGAGTACTGATTGGTGACCCTGGGCGGCCCCAGTTCAGTGGACACAGCATTCAGCATCACCTGCACAAAGTGGTAGAATATTCACTTTTGGAGCCTACTAGGCAGGAAAACAGTGGACTGACAACAAGCACAGTGTGGGATTTTCAGCCTTGAGTTGTCGAAGTGCTTCCAAGTATGAATATAGTAATGTTTGGATCTGACTCTGAAAGTTTTCTCTATAGGAGATACTCTCCAGTTTAATGAATGTAATTCTTGTTAAACGGCAAATCTTGTTTTTAAAATATGAAGGTTTAGAGTTTTGCTTACTTTTGTCATGTAACTGGTTCTGTATTTCTATGCATGCCAATTATACACATCTCTATCTGCATTTTTTTCTATTTTAACCACTGAAAAAATATGATTATACAATGCCATACTCAATGGTGGCAGCATTTAAGTAATGCAGAGGAATGAAACATTGTAGCCGGATCTGTTTCTGTAGTTGAGAACAACTGTGATGTAACTTTTAATTAAACAAACAAAACATAGAAGAATATATATATTTTTTCTTTTTTTAGAGACAGAGTCTCTGCTCCCAGGCTGGAATGCAGTGGCTATTCAGAGGCTTAATCATTGAGCACTGCAACCTTGAACTCTGGGCTTTTTTTTTTTTTTTTTTGAGATGGAGTCTCGCTCGTTGCCCAGGCTGGAGTGCAGTGGCCGGATCTCAGCTCACTGTAGCCTCCGCCTCCCACATTCAAGTGATTGTCCTGTCTCAGCCTCTGGAGTAGCTGGGATTTTAGGTGTGCACCACCATGCCTGGCTCATTTTTGTATTTTTAGTAGAGACTGGGTTTTGCCATGTTGGCCAGGCCAGTTTCAAACTCCTGACCTCAGGTGATCCACCCGCCTTGGCCTCCCAAAGTGCTAGGATTACAGGTGTGAGCCACCACACCAGCCTAACAGTGTTCTTTATTTCGATCACTTCCTTTTGATTTTTTCTTATAGCTTCTATCTCTGCTTATGTCACCCATCATTCTTGCATGTTGTATGCTTTTCACATTAGAGCCCTTTGCATGTTAATCAGTTATTTTAAATTTATGATCTGATAATTCTAAAATGTCTACCATATCTGAGTCTGGTTCTGATGCTTGTCTTTCCAGACTGTTTTTTTGTCTTTTAGCATGCCTTGTAATTTTTTGTTGATAGCTAGACATGATGTATTGGATAAATAAGCAGGTAAACTAAGGTAGCATGAGGTTTTAAAATCTGGGTAGGGCTATTGTTTGCTGTAGTGTAGCTATTACAGGCTAAATTTTCCTCTAGTGTCCTTGCTATTGTCTCCCCTGTTATCTTTGAGTTTCCCTAGAGATTCCTTCTTATATAGAGTCTGAAGCTTGCAGTTTTTTTCACCTGTAATTCCCTGTTATTATACAGTAGCCTAATTGATGTGATAAAGTATGGGAGAAGGTATGTTCTATAGTTCTGTGATTAAGTCTCAGTCAGTTAAGTCAGCCTGTGCTCCTGCTGTGACCTTCACAAGTGCTTTCAGCTTTTCTTTTGTCCCTTTGGTAGGACAGGAAAGCTAGAGGAGGCTAGAGCTGGGTACTTCCTTTCCCCCAGGTCAGCTAGGCTCTAGTAAAATAGTTTCCCTTGAGAGCTGGCTTTTGTTAAGGAGAATTGAATGCTTGGGCATATTTCAAAATGGTTACTTTCCCCATCCTCGTACCAGAAGAAGGGATTTTTCTCTGATCCTCACCCTGAAAACCTGGTAGGTATCCTGGAGGTAAAACTATGAAAGTGTGGTGTCTCCCCTAGGAGTGGGCCCCCTTGAGTTGGTTTGTTTTAATTTAACAAAGTTTAATTGAGCAAAGAACAATCTGTGAATTAGGCAGCTCCCAGAAGCAGTGTAGGTTCAGAGTGACGGCAGGGTTACCACACCTGGTGAGATAACGGTTATGGACAGATTCCTGGAGCTGTTGATTTTTTTTTTTTTTGAGACAGAGTCTCTTATCACCCAGGCTGGAGTGCAATGGCACGATCTTGGCTCACTGCAACCTCTGCCTCCTGGGTTAAAGTGATTCTCCTGCCTCAGCCTCCCAAGTAGCTGGGATTAGAGGCGTGCATCACCATGCTCAGCTGGGATTACAGGCATGCACCACCATGCCCAGCTAATTTTTGCATTTTTAGTAAAGACAGGGCTTCACCATGTTGGCCAGGCTGGTCTCAAACTCCTGTCCTGAGGTGATCCATCCGCCTCAGCCTCCCAAATTGCTGGGATTACCATTGTGAGCCACTGCACCAGGCTGGAGCTGTTGATTCTTAAGTCCATCCACATGGAGCCTCCAGCAACTCAGGAATTATAGCATAAATGTTCCTACTGGTACTGGCTCCAGCAAAAGGCTTCTGCTCCCTGTAAGCTGTGGTTCTTTGTATTTGCATTTCTAATATGTGAGGCATTTGCTCTTTAACCTTAAATAAATTAGGATCTAAGTGTTGTTGATTTTTCAGTTTATTCAGCTTTATTCGTATTGTGAGGATGGGAATGATGACTTCCAATCTCTTTATATTAGAACATATAAATCAGACTAGAGACTGGAAATTTTTGTTGTTGTTGTTGTTGAGGTTTTTGTTTTGTTTTGTTTTTAGACAGGGTCTTGCTCTCTCATCCAGGCTGGAGTTCCGCAATGTGACCATGCTCACTGCAGCCTCGACTTTCCAGGCTCAGGTAATCCTCCCACTTCAGCCTCCTTAGTAGCTAGGACTGCAGGCATGCACCACCATGATGCCTGGCTAGATTTTTTATTTTGTATTTTTTGTAGACATGGAGTCTTGCTACATTGGCCAGGCTGGGTATTACTGGGTGTTTTTTTCTTTCCTCCTTTATTTCTTTCCATATTTACTTATTCAATGAATATTTGAGTGCTTATTATATACCAGGCACTGTTCTAGGCACTGGGGATATAGGGATACAGCAATGAAAAAAAAAGATAAATATTTTGTCCTTACAAAATTTATATTCTAGAGTAGGGAGACATAATGAACAAATGAAAAGTAAAACAGGCATCAGATGGTGATAGGTAGTAAGGAGAAAAAGAGGTAAAGGTGATAGGGAATACTGGGTACTAGATGGGGTACAGATATTTTAAACAGAGTGGTGAGAAATAATTAATACAACTAGCAACATAAAAAAGGAGGAAAATAAAACTGCAAACTGTTTTAGGAAGATAAATCCTTCAAAGACCCAAAGAAGCTCACAACTTAAAAGTCAAAACTGGTTTCTGCAAAAAGGGGAAAATACGATTGACTTGGTTAAATATTCAGTATTAAATTTTATTGAATTCGTCTTTAGAAAAATTTCATAGATAGAACAGGCCTTACCCTTTTTGCACATATATACATATGTGCCACCTTTGCAGTGGCAACATATATAGCCACACTATAAACATACCACATTTATAAAGCAATAGTAAGGACAAGAAATGGAGTTGAATAAGTACCCCCCAACATACACAAGAAAGTTAGCATACTTACCCCGTTTTTCACTACATCAGAGGCAAAATAAGAAATCTTTTAAGAAAATCTCAACAAGACAGGCTCATGACAAAATGAATATGCTAAATTTGGGGGTTGGTTTAAGCATGGTATGTGTCAGGTAATTTTGTGATTACCAAAAAGTTTTCACTTGAAAACTAAGACCTTTGCTGTTTATTTCACAATGTGAAATCAGTAGAACCTGAGGATACAAATCTCTGTAGTGATATTCTGTATTTACTCATTTTTACACATTTTTGAATGCAATTTTGCTAAGGAAGGAAAGCTTACAGATGAATAAAATGTAATTGGGAAGAGTAGCCATAAAATTCAATGAACTAAGAGGCTGGGCAAGAGCCTCTGTAATACTAATAACGCTGAATGGCTAATAAGTCACTTCATTTCAGTGAAACAAATACCTAAATCCTTTTAAGAATTAACAGGCTTGATGTTCAGGTCTGCTTTTGGCAAATGGGTATTTAAATACTCCAGGAAGGTAAGAGCCAGAAAATAGGAAGGTAACTATGCTTTTAGAAATATGTTGACTTAGATTCTCCCAAGGTTTATACTTACAGGTAAGCTTACAACAATAACTCAAATACCTACATAGGAGAAGGAAATCTCAAGGGAAAACAGTTAATTTTAAAGTTATTTTAAAAACAAAATCCAACACCATAGATCAGAGTTCATGCTAGGATTATCATTTCAAAAATAATGACTCATCCAACAGATATAGAATAATAGCACTATTAAGATGTTTAAGAGTAAAGCACAAACATGTATATACCAAGACTCAGCTAATTCTCTGAGAGTTATAACTTAAGACAATAAAATAATTAAAAGTAGTGTTAACATTAAATAGAATGCAAATCTCTATAGATGGTTTCCTGGGAAAGTAGTTTTGATAAGCTTTCCTAGTATTGATCATCTTCAAAAAAGCATCAATAAACAGTCCATGTCACTTGCTTTAGTTTGTTTGGGCCTACTAATTGCTCCAACACTTCTCGTGAATGATCTATAAAAGAAAACAATGACAATATATTAATTGACAATAATAAATGTTTAATGTTTCCTCATGTCTAACTGGAGATGATGTTAATACACAGTTATTTAAAGGATTAAAGGAGGTGATCTATAAAGCACAGTATACAACTAACTCGCTAATAATTAACGGTAGCCCTTACTATTATTAGGTGTAGTGCACCTATCACAGTATTACTTGTTTAAAAAAAAAAAAACAGGCATTTGTTGTTTTCTGTGTAATTTCATCATAATTCCACCAACCAGAGTAATGGTGCAATTTCACCATTAACCTGTGTTAATGGTTAATAACTTTTTTCAGGATCTTAGCTGGAAATAGATGATTCACTAAAGGGGAGTGACTGAACAGCATTTAATTAAGGGAATATTTACCAAAAAAGTAGGATTAAAGAAAGCCAATAAACCACCTTGGGAAGCTGCAACACACCCAAAGGGTTAGAGGAGGTAGTAGTCACCAGAATGTGACAGGTTGACCTGTAGTTGAACATTTTTCCATGTCTGTATAATACTATTATAAAACATGATTTTAAATAGATAACCATTATATAAATACACTGTAATTTAACCGATCTATATTATTGGACATTTAGATGTTTTCGGTTTTTCACAATGTACAGTCATGATTTTGATATGGTTTCCATCCTAGTTTTAGGATGTCTTTAAAAAATCTGAATTAAAGCAAAAATACTGATAAAATTTTGTTAGTTTAAATATTACTCATAAGTTTAACAGACTTGTTTCCATAGATACAACTTATGTTTTATATACAACTTATGTTTTATATACAACCTAACCCAGTCTTGGACATCCTGTAATTTGGTGGTTCCTAGACAGATTTCACAGACCAGTAGGAAAAAAAAAAAAAAAAAAAAAGATGGGCCCAACATATACAGTGACAAAATTTTATTTTACATTAAACAAAATTAAGCAAAAATACCAAGGTTTATTGCCAGTAAGAGAACCAGAGAGTGTATAGAAATGAAAAGCTATTATCATTGGGAAAACAAAGGTTTACAATTCCATTTTTTAAAAAAGTAGCTAGTAAGATAAATGCAGTTTTATTCATAGTCATAAAAATATTATTGGTTATTGTAGAGGAAATCTAAATCAAAGATAGGTTCAAATTATGTTGAAAGTAAAAGAATGGAAAGACATACCATATAAATGGCAACCATGACAAAGCTGGGTGGCTATAGAAGAGGGGGGAAACACTTTCCAACTCTTTCTGTGAGGCCAGTGTTACCCTGATACCAAAGTCAGACAAAGACGTCACATGAAAACTGCAGACAGGGATCTTTTATTAATATAGACTAAAAAATGCTCAACAAAACACCACACCAAATCCAGCCACTAGAAGAAAGGATTACATACCATGACCAACTGAGATTTATCATAGGAATGCAAGGTTAGTTTAACATCTGAAAATCAATGAGTATACTATGTTAATGTCCTATTGCTGCTGTAACAAATTACCACAAACCTAGTGGCTTAAAGCAACAAATTTGTTATCGTACAGTTTTGAAGGTCAGAATTCCAAAATGGGTCTCACTGGGCTAAAATCAGGTGTGGGCAGGTCTGCATTACTTTTTAGAGGCAAGTTTTATCTTTTTTTTTTGGAGGCTGTACAGGAGAATCTACTTCCTTTACTTTTCTAGCTTCTAGAAACTACCACATTCCTTGCATTCCTTCCTGCTTAAAGTGAACAACATGGGGCTGGGTGCGGTGGCTCATACCTGCAATCCCAGCACTTTGGGAGGCTGAGGCAGGCATATCATGAGGTCAGGAGTTCGAGACCAGCCTGGCCAACATAGTGAAACCCCATCTCTACTAAAAATAAAAAAATTAGCTAAGCATCGTGGCACGCGCCTGTAGTCCCAGCTACTCGGGAGGCTGAGGTGGGAGAATCACTTGAACTAGGGAGGCGGAGGTTGCAGTGAGCCGAGACCACGTCATTGTACTCCAGCCTGGGTGACAGATGAGACTCTGTCTCAAAAAAAAAAAAAAAGTGGGCATCATTGGGCATAGTCCTTTTCAAGCTGCCATCTCTATGGTCCTTCTCTGTCCTTCTACTTTTAAGGACCCTTATGATTATATTGGGCCTACATAGATAATCCAGGATGATCTCCCTACTTAAAAATCAACTGATTAGCAACTTTAATTCCATTGGCAACCTTATGTAACATAACATACTCACATTTTGGGCATTAGAACATGGATATCATTGGGTGGGTGAGAGCATTATTCAGCTTACCACCTACACCATTCTAATAGAACAAAGAACTAAAACCACATGATCATCTCAACAGACAAACACCATTTGGCTGGGTGCAGTGGCTCACGCCTGGAATCCCAGCACTTCGGGAGGCTGATCACCTGAGCCCAGGAGTTCAAGACCAGGCTGGCTAAGATGGGAAAACCCTGTCTCTACTAAAAATACAAAAAATAAATTAGCCAGGCATGGTGGTGGGTGTCTGTAATCCCAGCTACTCAGGAGGCCGAGGCAGGGGAATCGCTTGAATCCAGGAGGCAGAGGTTGCAGTGAACTGAGATGCTGCCACTGCACTCCAGCTTGGACAACAGAGCAAGACTCAGTCTCAAAAAACAAAACAAAACAAAACACCAGTTGACAAAAACCAATGCTCATTCAACCAACTAGGAATAGAAGATGACTTCCTCAACCTGATAAAGGGCATCTATGAAAAACCCATAGCTGGCAGGGTGCAGTGGCTTATGCCTGTAATCCCAGCATTTTGGGAGGCCAAGGCGGGAGGATCACTTGAGCCTAGGAGTTCAAGACCAGCCTGGGAAATATAGTGAGACCCTGTCTCTGCAAAAGAAATTTAAAAATTAGCTGAGTGTGGTGGCACATGCCTGTAGTCCCAATTACTCAGGAGGCTGAGGTAGGAGGATCTGCTTGAGCCTGGGAGACAGAGGTTGCAGTGAGTGTGTTCATGTCACTGCACTCCAGCCTGAGCAACAGAGCAAGACCCTGTCTCAAAAACAAACAAGAAAAACCTATAGCTAATAGTGAAAAATTAAATGTTTTCTGCCTAGGATCAAGACAAGGATATCCACTCTTTTGTTTTTGAGACAGTCTCACTCTTGTTGCCCAGGCTGGAGTTCAATGATGTGATCTCGGTTCACTGCAACCTCTGGCTCCCAGGTTCAAGTGATTCTCCTGCCTCAGCCTTCCGAGTAGCTGGGATTACAGGCGCCCTCAACCACGCCCAGTTAATTTTTTGTACTTTTAGTGGAGATGGGGTTTCACCATGCTGGCCAGGCTGGTCTCAACTCCTGACCTCAGCAGTTTGAGACCTGATCCACCTGCCTTGGCCTCCCAAAGTGCTGGGATTACAGGCGTGAGCCACCGTGCGCCGCCAGGATGTCCACTCTTGCCATTTCTATCCAACGATGTATCAGAGGTTCTAGTCATGGAAATTAGGCAAGAAAAAGAAAAGGCATTCAGGTTGGAAGAACTAAAACTATTTGTAGATGATGTTATATTGTGTATACAATATCCCAAGGAATTCACTAAAAAAATAGAATAAATGAGTTCAGCAAGGTATAAGAACAATATATAAAAATCAAATGTATTTCTATATACCAACAATGAATAATCCAAAAATGAACTAGAAAATAATTCCATTTATGTTGCCATCAAAAATAATAGAGTACTTAGGAATAAATCGAATGAAAGTGAAAAACTTACACTCTGAAAACTATAGGCCATTATTGAAAGAAATTAAAGATCTAAATAAATTCAGACCAAAAGACTTAATATTATTAAGATAGCAATATTTCCCAAATTACCTACAGATTCAGTGAAATTCATATCAAAATACAAGCTGGCTTTTCATTGTTTGCAGAAATCAGTAAGATGGGGCCGGGCAGGGTGGCTAACACCTGTAATCTCAGCACTTTGGGAGGCCAAGGCAGGCGGATTGCTTGAGCTCAGGAGTTTAAGACCAGCCTGGGCAACATGGTGAAACCCCGTCTCTACTAAAAATACAAAAATTAGCCAGAAGTGGTAGTGCGCACCTGTTGTCCCAGCTACTTGGAGGACTAAGGTGGGAGAATCGCTTGAACCCTGGTGGTCAAGGCTGCAATGAGCTGAGATGGCATCACTGCACTCCAGCCTGGGTGACAGAGACCCCGTCTCAACAACAACAACAACAACAAAAAGAAATTGATGATTCTAATATTTGTATGAGAATTGGGGGGATCCAGAACAGTCAACAGAATTTTGAAAAAGAACAAAATTAGAGACTTAACACTTCCCAATTTCTTTTTTTTTGAGATGGAGTCTCACTCTGTCGCCAGGCTGGAGTGCCGTGGGCATGTTCTCGGCTCACTGCAACCTCCGCCTCCCAGGTTCAAGCGATTCTCCTGCCTCAGTCTCCCAAGTAGCTAGGACTACAAGTGCGTGCCACAATGCCCAGCTAATTTTTGTATTTTTAGAGACAGAGTTTCACCATGTTGGCCAGGATGGTTTCGATCTCTTGACCCCATGATCTGCCTGCCTTGGCCTCCCAAAGTGCTGGGATTACAGGTGTGAGCCACCGCACCCAGCCAACACTTCCCAATTTCATTTTAGCTGCTGTATCTACAATAATTTTGGCATTTTTCCAAGTTGTGAATATGTTAGTTATCAAATGTTATATATAAATATTTGTCTTCTGTCTACATTTGTCACTCTTCTGTGGGAATTCACTATTGCACATTATAGGAAGATGCTTTTCCCTCCAATAGTAAGCATGGAACATTTTTATGTAATTTAAAATTTTTGATGCTAGATGGCAGTATTATATTAGTCTCCTTAGGCAGCTTCTTCCTATGAAGATAGAGTATTTAGGACTGTGGGTTTAAATAAGAATATTCAATGCCTTTATTATGCTGCAGGGAAAAACTATGGGGTCGCTGAGTATTTCATAATCCCTTGGCAGAACATTTTCTAGAAACACATACTCTCTTGGC